CTCTCCCTCTCTCAAATAAATAAATAAAATTTAAAAAAAACTGCTATAAAGGACATGTTTTTGGACAACTGGGGAGATTTAAATGTGGAGTGTATATTAGTCACTTATTCTTTAGCATGACAGAGCAGAATGGCTATGGGTCTTGTGGAAGGTACAAAGATGGGAGCTTAGTGCCTGCCAAGGGGAGGGGATCTGTTTAACACCTCCGACTAAAGTTGGGGCCCCGAGAGAGATACACCTTAGGGGAAGAAGTGCACCAATCAGCTCTCAAAGCCATCAAAGACTGAATCTGATCAGCTCAGACACTATTTGGATTAAAAGAATGTGTCCCCCGCCATTCTCACTGCGTGAGAAGCTAATCCACTCTAGACAAAGATAACACCATTTCAAGCTTTAGATTTGCCTGTAGTTCTATGGCAAGAGGTAACATTCATTGGGTATTTATGGTGTTTTAAAGCACAGTGCTGGGCGCCTGGGTGGCTCAGTTTGTTCAGCGACTGCCTTCGGCTCAGGTCATGATCTCAGAGTCCCGGGATCAAGTCCCGCATCGGGCTCCCTGCTCGGCAGGGAGTCTGCTTCTCCCTCTGACCCTACCCCCTCTCTTGCTCTCTCTCTCTCTCATTCTCTCTCTCAAATAAATAAATAAATAAAATCTTTAAAAAAAAAAATAAAGCACAGTGCTAAGGTGCCTTGGTGTATTATCTCCTCCAATCTTCACAGAAACCCTGTGATACAGGACAGATGTTTTGAGTAACTGGTTTCTACCCCTGGGCTAATCAAGTAGCAGAATCAGGATTTGAATCCAGCCAATTCCAGTCCAAAATTTTCCTGTCTCAATCACAACAGTATTGTCATCAGCTTCTCCCCCGAGCTGGAGGCTCGTGTATCTTGACTTCGGATCTCATCTTGACTATCTCAAAGGATCACTGTATCTCCCAAACCAAAATCCTGATGTCTTTTTCCCAAAGTAACATCCTCCAGTGTTTCCCATCTTAGTGACTAGAAACATCGTCCGTCCATGGCAAACAAGTCAGAAAACCAATCCCCTTCCATCCACGCAAGTCGGGGTTTTCTTCCTAAATGTCCCTCAGGCGTGGCCACTTTCCTATCTCTGTCAAACCCTAGGCCCACTTACCAACATCTCCCAGTCGCAAAACTGTGGTTGCCAAGACTCAGGGCCCTGCCCCTCACACCCCATTCTCCAAGATATAGCAAGATATATCCTTCCAGATGCATATGGAAGCATGTCACACTCCCTTGTCACACATCAATGGTTTCCCATTGCTCTCAGGTAAAGATCAAACCCTTGACCATAGCATTTAGCTTTGCATGAGTCCCCAGCATACTTGTCCATCCTCCGTTCCTGGAGGGAAAAATGTCAAAGACTTTGTCTTCATATATGACAACCACCACAGTAACTAATATGGGAAGATACTTCGAGGTTGTATGGAGTCCCCTTGGGATTCTCTCCCTCTCCCCCTTTCCCTCTCTCTCTAATAAATCTTTTTAAAATTAAAAATAAATAAATAAATAAAGGGGCACCTGGGTGGCTCAGTTGGTTAAGCGGCCAACTCTGGATTTGGGCTCAGGTCATGATCTCAGCGTCGTAGGATCGAGCCCCACATCAGGTCCTGTGAACTTAGCAGGGAGTCAGAGCCTGCTTGAGATTCTCTCTCCTGGCCCCCCCTTCTTGTGTGCTCTCTCTAAAATAAATAAACAAATCTTAATAAATAAGTATTTTCCATCTGCTAAGTAACCACAGGCAACAGTTTACAGGTGACTTCAATATATCATAACAATATATATCAATATATCATCACTGTTTTTCCTGGTTTGATAACAACGCCTTCACTACTTTTTCCACATAGGTCACTCTTTTGTTACTTGGTACTCCTGGTACCAGTTTCTGGAGCAGTTTCCTATGGCCACAATAATGTTGCATGACAAGCTTCGTCAAACACTGTGGCAGAATACAAGAAACATTTATTTAGCCTTCGAGCCTAAGGGTCGGCTGGGAGGTCCACTGGAGACAGACTGATCTTTTTTTTTTTTTAGATTTTATTTATTTATTTGACAGAGAGAGACACAGCGAGAGAGGGAACACAAGCAGGGGGAGTGGGAGAGGGAGAAGCAGGCTCCCCGCCGATCAGGGAGCTGGATGCGGGGCTCAATCCCAGGACCCTGGGATCACGACCTGAGCCGAAGGCAGACGCTTAACAACTGAGCCACCCAGGCGCCCCAAGACAGACTGATCTTGAGTACCTTGTCTGAGGCCACTTTCCTCAGCTCCATATTGTCTTCCGCCCTCCAACAAGCTGGCCCAGAGTTGTTCTCACGGTGCCAACAGGAGTCTGAGAGTAGAAGCATGAAATGCCTCGCGAGTTCCAGTCTCAAAACTGACACACCATCCTTTCTGCCACATCCCATTGGTCAGAGCAAGTGGTAAGGTCAGCTCAGGTTCAAGGGGTGGAGAAAAAGAACCCTACTTCTTGATGAGAGTGTTGCTAGACCCCCAAGACCAGGTTCTTGTGTCTCAGCGTCATGGAAATGAACAGCAAACGCGAGAAAGAGAACAGGTGATGTTTATTAGAAATCGCTTGTACAGGGGGGCCCCTAGGTGGCGCTCTTGGTTTCGGCAGGGGTCACAATCTCTGGGTCCTTGGATGGAGCCCCGTCAGGCTCCATGCTGAGCATGGAGTCAGCTCCAGCGTTCTCTCTCTCCCTCTCCCTCTGCCCCTCCTCCCCAGCTCACTTGCACTCTCTCTCTCTCTAATAAATCTTAAAAAAAAAAAAAGAATGACACTATTAAGAAAATGAACCATTGGGGTGGCTGGCTGGCTGGGTGGATGAAGCATGTGACTCTTGATCTCCACGTCCTGAGTTAGAGCCCCACATTGGGCTGAGTTTACTTAAATATTTTTAAAAAGGGGGCGCCTGGCTGGCTCAGTCGGTTAAGCGTCTGCCTTCAGCTCAGGTCATGATCCCGGGGTCCTGGGATCGAGCCCCTAGTCCGCCTCCCTGCTCAACGGGAAGCCTGCTTCTCGCTCTCCCTCTGCTCCTCCCCACTGCTCCTGCTTTCTCTCTTTCAGATAAATAAAATCTTTAAAATTTTTTTTAAGAAAATGAACTATTCATAACTATGAAAAACATGGGTGAATCTCATAAAAATAATGTGTGAAAGACACCAGACACAAGAGTATATAAAGTTCAAAAAAATAAGCAAAACTAAAATACAGGTATGCACCCCTAGGTAGTAAAACAAAAAGCAAAGCGAGGAAACAATTACCATAAACACCAGGATAGTAGTTACCTCTGGGTAGAAGGAAAGGACAGTGAAGCAGGGGGGAGGGGGAGGGTTCAGGAATACTGGAAATTCAATTTCCAGTGGTAGTTACATGGATGTTCGCTTTCTGATAAATCATCCAGCTGTATATTTCATATACTTTTCTGCATATGTTATACTGCACAGATAAGATTTAGGGGAAAAAATGCCCAAGAGTGGCCAAAGAAATTTTAAATATAAGAAGGGGCTGTGATTAGAAAGCTTTGGTAGTTAAGAGGATTGTTGTCAGGAAGACAGACAAATGAATAAATGGAAAATAATAAAGAACACCCTCCCCCTCCCCCAACAAAAGTCCCTGAATCTAGACTATTTTGGTATATAATACAGGCGGCATTTTTTTTCCCCCTGCAAAAAGTTTTATTGTTTTCATTTGGTCCACAGCTTGGGAGCGGGCTCCAGGGTGGTTAAAGAGCTGCCTGGCGGCTGCTCGGACAAACCCTGACAGAAGCCCCGGCACTAAGGGGATGCCAGAGGGGCCCCTCAAAGGCTGCTGGGCTCCAGAGGCTGACAGTCACGCTGGAGGGTGAGCCTTTCGAAGAGATACTCGCCCAGCCCGGCCTGGGGGCAGGACAGCCTGCGGAGGTTAGTCAGGTGGCCGCCCATCTTCTTGATGGTTTTCACCTCCTCGCCCAGGAAGTGGCTCTCCAGGAAGTCACAGAGATGGGCGTCTGCACGGGTAGAAGCCAGGTCATGCAGATCCAAAAGGGCCTCGTTCAGGTTCTTCTCGAGGACCACAGCAGTTTCCATGGCGTCCAGGGCTTTACCCCACTTGTCATGGGATGGCTTCTGCACGTCCTGGAAGAGGGAGCTGCCGCTGCGCTGCTTTTGCAACATCAAGAGCTCCTGGGCGCCCTCGAACTTCTTCTGGGCTAACTCGCGGAAGAAGTGGCCCAAGCCCTCCAGAGCCACATTGCTGCAGTCGAAATAGAAGCCCAGGGAGAGGTAGGTGTTGGAGGCCCGCAGATACATGTTGACCAGGCAGTTGACGGAGGCCTCCACCTCGGTGGAGTAGTTCTGACGAATCTGACAGCTCATGGTTGACTGGCAACAGGGAGCTAAGGTCAAAAACCGGTGTTGGTTGGCCCCGGAGGCAGAGGGTGACCGGGAAGATGGTTCCGAGGGCTGAGGCTGTACAAGCGGCTGGAGGGTGCTCGGAGGCTGGAATAAGGGGTGTCCCTGGGTCTGTTTGGTACAAGTTCTGTTGAAACACGGGGCCGATTCAGGGGCCCGCCGGGAGCACTGTTGTTGATGGGGCATTATAATCGTGGGAGAAGAAGCTTAGAGTGAAGCATGTTGGATGGGATCTTGGGAAAGCCAACAAGAAGCAGTCTTGTAAGACTTTCCTTGTAAACGTTAAGCTGGTCCAGATGGAAAATATGGCTCCGCCATTGGACGGACGTTCGGTTACCCCGGGGCAGTTTCAGCTGTGATGGCACATCCGGCCGCTAGGTGGCGTCTGGCGGAGCGCGGGCGCCCGGGAATGACGCGTGCGCAGCGCTCCTAGGTTGATCCGTAGGCCTTGCGCTCGCGCACACGGGCTCGCACGCTGCGTTTACCGGCGCGCACGGCGCACGCGCACTCAGCTGCACGCCAGTCGTCGTGCTGTTCGGCTCTCGCAGTTTCTCTGGGAGCGGCCGAGCTGACCCCGCCGTCCGAGATGTCCGAGCTGCCTGCCGACTGCAGTGTCCGGCAGACGGACGCCGCGAATGGCCACCGCGACGTCCGGCAGGCGGAGGTAGGCGGCGGGAGGCGGGAGCCGGCCCCGGCGCGGCCCGCGGAGCCCGGAGAAGGTCCGGCGGCGGCGGCGGCCGCCGAGGAGGCCGGCGAGGCAGCGGTCGCCCGCGAGCTGGCGGGGCCGGCGGAGGAAGAGGGCGCGCAGGCCAGACCCCGGTCCCGGCCGGCGAACGGCCCGGGCCTGGCTGCGTTGCCGTACCTCCGCCTCCGTCACCCACTTAGTGTTTTAGGAATCAATTACCAGCAGTTCCTCCGCCACTACCTGGAGCACTACCCGATCGCTCCCGGCAGAATCCAGGAGCTGGAAGAACGCCGCAGGAGGTTCGTGGAAGCCTGCCGAGCCCGGGAAGCCGCGTTCGATGCCGAGTATCAGCGGAATCCCCAGAGGTTGGATTTTGACATTTTGACATTTACTATAGCTCTCACCGCATCTGAGGTTATCAATCCTCTGATAGAAGAACTTGGTTGTGATAAGTTTATCAGCAGGGAATAGTCTGGTGATGGAACTGCTTCGAGGAGAGCGAGACTTAAACGCCGATCCTGTCGCGTTTTGAAAAGTCATTGTATATGAGATGAGGCCATAGTTGATGAAAAAAAGCATCAGGAAAGAGAGAGAAAAGATTCAAAGCCTCGTGACTCCTCTGACGTTGAGTTTGCGGTTGATAACAGATTCTTTGCCCTGCGTGGTGGAAATGTCTTTCAAAAATTGCTGCCCCAAAACGTGAAGAAGTTTTATGAAATTGAGACTTGATGAAGAAATATTGCCCATAATAGAGCCTGTGGTGATGAGAGAAATTGTCAAATACTGATGGCAGGAATCAGGAGTCACAGCTGAGTTATCCTGGGAGAGACTGGAAGCCCACGGAGAGAACTTGAAATTGTCAGAATATGCGCTCTCCTCGCCGTCGGGTTCCACAGAAGGTTTTAGTCCAAGTCGATTTTGTGTTTTCGAAGGCATTTCAAGTGGCAAACAATGTAACTGTTGTATATATTACGTGATAAATTATGTGTTCAAGAATTTCTGAAGTTTCTGGATTTTTTTTTCTTTCATTTTTTTAACTTAAGGTTTTTTGGGGGGTTTTTGGTGGTGTTTTTGGTAAATGTAATCACACACCTCCAAAATATAAAATGTACGCTGAAAAGCCTTCCATCCCTGTCCCCTCCATCCAGTGCATACCACAACCCACATCTGTAGGTGTCTCTTCTGTCCTTGAAATCTCCTTATGTACACAAGCAAATGCGAATTTGGGTGTTTTTTTTTTTTAATTTCTTCACAAAAGTTGGTATATTTACTGACTTATAAGTTGCTTTTTCAGTAAGAACGTATCTTTTTTTTTTTAAGATTTTATTTGTTTGACAGAGACACAGCGAGAGAGGGAACACAACCAGGGGGAGTGGTAGAGGGAGAAGCAGGCCTCCCACGGAGCAGGGAGCCCGATGCGGGGCTTGATCCCAGGACCCTGGGATCATGACCGGAGCCGAAGGCAGATACTTAATGACTGAGCCACCCAGGCGCCCCAGTAAGAAGGTATCTTGAAGATCCTTCCAAACCACATTTCCTCATTCTTTTTTAGAGCTGCACTTTGTTTAATTCTGTGGTTGGTTATGTTGTAATTTACTTATCCAGGAACGCACTGATGGACATTTGGGTGGTTCCCCATCTTTCTCTCTAGATTTTTTTTAAGATTTTATTTATTTATTTATTTGAGAGAGAGAGCACAAGCAGGGTGGGGAGGGGCAGAAGGAAAAGCCGACTCCCTGCTGAGCCGGGAGCCTGACTGGGGACTTGATCCCAGGACCCTGAGATCATGACCTGAACTGAAGTCAGACGCTTAACCGACAACCACCCAGGCGCCCCTTGACAGCATTTTTTCCTTAACTTTTGTAAAATACTAGGGCATCTTATAATTAGCAACTTCTTAGATTCTTTGTTATATATTATAGCCATAGTGTGAATTTACAGAATTGAGAATTCTGGGCCAAAGGTACTCATTTGAAATGTTCCAGATGCTGCAGAGTTGCCTTCCATCGTGTTGCACCACATTCCACTTCCCGCCAGCAACCGAAGGACATTTCCTTACAGCCTCACCGGCACAGTAAGCCATCAAATGTCTGGATTTTGCCCATCTATATATTTGAAAGATAGTATATCATTGTTTTGTTTGGAGAGAGAGCGTGCACGCTAGCAGGGGGAGGGAGAGGGAGAGACTCTCAAGCAGACTCCCAGGGGCTCAGTCCCGGGACCCTGAGACCATGACCTGAGCTGAAACCAGGAGTCGGAGGCTTAACCATCTGAGCCATCCAGGCG